TTTTTTTTTTTTTTTTTTTTTTTTTTAGGGAAAAGGTATGTTTAGTACTAGAGTGTGTTGCTAAGAATGAATAGGAAAACTGGAGTGTGTTCACGAACCTTTTAAAGTTCAACCTGCCTCTGGTTTTTGGGTACCCACAGGGAGAGATGTCCCCTGAGAATAGAGGATATTTCTGTAACTTCTGTCATTTTCTATTTTTAAAGACAAGTCCAGAACTCTTCTCAGAAGAGGAGTTTCTGCCTCTGGACCCAACCCAGGAGCTGATATTTCCTCCAGAGCTAATGGTAAGGAAGGCAGCTGCTCACCTTCCTGGTGACATGTCAGGGGGAGTCTTGTCAAAAGCTGAGGGCACACAGCTCACTGACCTCATCAGAAACACGCACTGCAGCAGACAGGGGTTAATGCAGACTTCACAGCTTGTCAAAGGGCTGAGAACTTGCAGGGTGCTCAGCTCAGCATGAATGGGACATCTGCATTACACCCACTCCCTCCACGACTCAGGGACCTTTGATAAAAGAGGGTGGGATTAATGTCTTCTAGAAACGACAGGGTCACTGTCCACATGAACTCATTGCCTACACAAGCTCAATTTAGTCAACATTCAGGACGGAGAGGTGAGAGGCTCGCCAGCCCCCACCCTTAGCTGATACAGTTAAAGGCAGCTGGGGAGGGAGGGTCAGTTTTCTTCAAGGCTGTGACCACTTCTAGGTTGACCATGACCCAGTGGATGACCCCGTATCCATGAGTCTGTGGACATGACAGAGTGTACTCAGTCGGCTGGGAGGGTGGGAGGTGAACTTTGGAGGAGTGAGGTGGAGGAATGGGAGGAAATATAATAAAAGTACACGTGTTCATACACGAAATTCTCAAGGAATTAGTAAAAGTATATAAAGAACAAACTGATGGGCAAATAGGCAATGCTCACCCATCGTCCTCACCTCAGAGTCCAGAGAGTGTGAGCCCAGCAGGAGGTGGACGGGGGTGGAGCTGCCATGAGGGCTGGGACGTGGGACACAGCTGATGACGTCTGTCAAAGTCAAGAGGCACAGTCAATGGGCTTCAGTGTAGACTCGTTTCTCCTGTCTGTGCAGAAGTTCATGTTCTGTAGAAGGATTTGACCAAACGAGCACATTTTTATGTCAGTGAGCATCAAAATGAGTTACTCTGAGTTTCCCAAGGGCCAATGGGAGCTTCAGTTTCCAGGACTAAACACTGCCAGTCTTTAACTTTGAACTCTGACCCCTGGTGGGGCTCAACTTTATGTCACAGAATTTAGTTTTTAGAAGATAAGCATTTCTTTTCTCTGTTTCAATAAAATCGAATGAGAAGAGGAGGGAATTTTGTCACAAGCTCTCGTATCCCTGTTGCCTTCTCAACAGACAATGGCTGAGAAACAGCCACCCAAGACCAGAGTGTTCAGTGGCGAGAGAATGACGTGGATTTCCCCAGTGACTCTGAAGGAACTCATGGAAGTTAAATTCAAGTATCCCCAGGCCCCCATCGTGATGGGGAACACCTCTGTGGGTATGAGAACCCCCTGGGATATCTTGTGAGGGAAACAAGCTTCACATGGGTGTGTTGTCAGGACCACAGCGAGGAAATCCAATGTTGTTCAAGAGATGTTCCAGCATGAGAAAACTGCCTGCCCTGTGTTTCGCTGGTGCAGAGGCTGGCTTGCTGGCCCCATGCTAACCCAGCAGCAGGTTTAGCCTGGGCTTCACTGAGCACAGGCTGGCCCCATGGTAGGCCAGTAGCAGGGGTGCCAGTGCTCTGGTTTTCCATCTGGGGACCACTCTGGCTCTCGTGCTGAAACTGCTCTGTCTTTCTTCTCTGGGTGGTGTCTCTGTAACTGTAATGTGTTTTATTTAAAGGCAGTGGCAGGGTCTTCTCCTTTTCCACATAGGCCTAGTGTGGCTGCCCATCTCTCTGCAGGGCCCCCAGGATCTTCTCCCAGTGACTGTGAATGTGCCATACAGCACAAGTTTTGGGGCTAAAAATTCTAAAGAGTCCTCGGGTTTTAGCGGCCACTCTCTCTGCTTATGGTTTGCAATAAACAGCCCAATAAAAGCAAACAATTTTTATATTTTATATGTCCAAAGACATGGAATTAATCATAAATCAAATTTAAGAGAGTAGTTTTCAAATTTAAAATCCTTTTAGTCTAATCCTGTGTCTCTTCCACAATCCCTCAGGGCCAGAAGTAAAGTTTAAAGGTGTCTTCCACCCCGTCGTAATTTCTCCTGACAGAATTGAAGAGATGTGTGTTGTGAGCCAGGCCGGTGACGGTGAGTTCTTACTGTTGAAATTAGGAGCGGCAGGGCTGCGTCCCTGGCACCCAGCCGCCCGCATGGCTAGCTTATGCCCGAAATAATTACACGGAAACTGTATTCTATTAAACATTGCCTGGCCCGGCTAGTTCCAGCTTCTTATTGGCTAGCTCTTACATATTGTTCTAACCCATTTCTAATATTCT